AGTGCCGAATCAAACATTAACGCAAACGAGACCCATCCTTTTCATATCGCCCAAGTATCCGCATAACCGTAAGCCGTCTCGATCGTCGACATCGAGAGCCGCCTAATAAAGCCCTGGATATATTTCACCGGGGCTATTAAACCATTCTGGATAATTGTGACCACATTTGCCCGGTCTTGGCCAGTCGCTGTGACAATCCGGAGGTACATATAAGCTTGTGGTAAAGCAGAAGCGGACAATTTCGTTGGTGGACCAGGCTTATCGACCTTTTCCTAGCTCTCGCTACTACTACGAATTTACAATTAAATTCCACCTGTGTATGCAGCCTGGTTTGATAAACGGTGGTTGTGCATCGGTCGTTGAAAAACGTAGAATTCTCTCTCTCTCTCTCCAAAGTCTCCAGGCGAGATATCGCGCTCAGACGGGATTTTGTTCGACTTCAATTTTCATTTCGCCAAAGTAACCAGTGTTCCATCTTCCTTTTCCCACCCTCTCCTTTCCGTGTTTCCTCTTCCTTTTCCCTTCTACCTTTCAACCCCAAACCATCGCCCTCTTTGTTCAACCTCACCTCATCCACCTCTTGCATTTAATCGATTTCAATCGGAATGCTTCTCTACTCACTTTACCGGGGCGCGAGCCCGCCAATTTGAATATATTAGGCGATTCGTCTGAATTTAATAGAGGTGCATTAGGCATCTAAGTAATAAAAGACACGCGAGGGAGAGCTGCACCAGTCCTCACTTACACGATTTTCTTCTTACGCGCTCTGTCGACCCCTGTCTCATGGGTCGTCGACACTGTTTCACTGTATCCTCCTGCGAGACTTAATATCTCTTGATACTAAACTTTACTTTGCGCTAAAAATTACTTGGAACATTTATCTCACCTTTTCAAAAATATTCCATAAAAATTCCTTCCCCTAGTGTAATAAAATTATTATAAATTAAAAGAACTGAAATCTTAATTTTAAAGTGCACAAAAATTCTCAAAATAATTTTAATCCACCAAATCTTGAAATTTTCAGAAAATATTTTTCGAAAATCAAGATAATTCTTTTAAGGCGCATAGAGCTTCATACTCGAGTTACTATAACGCATAATTCAAACTCTGCATTCGCATACTTAAAACTCTGTCACTGTGAACCCTCTAATATTGATTTATCCGAATCGACTAGAATTTTCTGGAATTTTCCACAGAATTTTCGCTAGGATATATGAACAGAATTGGTCGCGTAAACGTGCTACGATGATCGAAGTTGGTACGTACACGTTGAATGGCCCCCGTTACCCTGCGGGGAATATCACGATCGTCAGTTATGGTCACGCACAGCTCGAGAGAATACGAGGTGGTGGACGATTCGATTGACACACGCCTGTACTCTCGTTGTGCGTGGACTAAACACGGTTGATAATGTGTACCTGTAATTTAGGCTCGTACACCTGTTATCCGAACGTCTTTATCACCTATTCCTACGTGAAACGCGATAATTCGTTGCGTACACTATCCGAACAAAGTTACTCTCCGCGATAACTTCCCGTCGGTCGAATTAATTGCACAACGAGATCCCGGTGAAACGATAAATTCAACGATAAACTTGAAGTTTATCGTTGCAGAAAAATAATTGAAGGGTGTATTCGGTAGTTGAAACGTTCTTTAGAAACTTCTCGTTCTTCCACCGGTGAGTTATTTAGTTTTACAAATGAGCGTTTCGTTGTTTATCGATCTTTCTAGCCGCTTTGTTTTCTCCTGGGTTCTTTAGTTTAAAGGGCCAGTGGAATGGAAGTACCTTTCATTTATCGAATCCGCTTCGAATTTATGTATGCACGGACTTTCCATGTAACAATCTCTACGTTTCCATTGTTACACACTCGTGAATTAGTTCAACGAACTCTTCCCGAAATAGGTTAAAAAAGCACACTGTCTCGTTTAAGAAAAAAGAAACAAAGGTCACGTTGAAATTTCAGAAGCATCTCCAATTAGAACGAAAACGACGTTAATTACAAAACGTCCCCCTTTCGAAACAAAATAAATTCTACTCGTCACGTTTTCCCAAGTAACAAACAATTCGACGGATAATCGCGTGGCAAAATTATAACGAAACATGATCTCCTATTTAACTCTTTCGCAATATTTCAAGATTTACGTATTTAAACGGACAGCGTACCAAAATCACAAATGGTAATTTTCATCCTGCACCGACTAATCCTTCGATATATCCTCCACACTTTCCGTCCGTGCCGTAAATTACAGGAATTCATTTAAAACGCCACAACACACCGCGCAATAACCAACAACAGCTAAACGAACAATCCATCAGCAATGTTCGATTTGCAGCGACACATTCGTGACCAAGTTTGCCGTGCGAGACTGCCGCGATCTCCTAGGCCTTTGGGGCTTGAAGGGTGTACGTGCCATCTTTAATGTCCCGTCGAACACTTGTCACGCCTGTGACACGAGTTCAGAAGGGTAGGCCATGGTGTGTAGGGGTCGATGAGAGCGAATTGCTCTCGTAATAAGTCATCGAGAGCAGCGGCTGAGACAACGTCCTCGTCTTTTGCTCGGTGCCCCTTTAGAGACTTGGTAGGGGTGATAGATCAAGCCACTTTACTTCCGGTCCCGGGATCCCTGGCTCACGTACCGAGTCCACGCTCTCTTCCCTCCTCAGACCTTCGAACATTAGTCTGTCATGCGTGGCTTGTCGGATTATATCAGTCTGCGAGCGTAGCATATGCTTCCGGTTACGTGCGAATGCACTCTGATCGTAATTCTTTGTTCCCTGTCCGCGAGAAAATTAGCCCCGGTGATGTATCGACGCAAACACCGCACCACGATGATCCACCGTGTTTTCGTTTTCCCTTTATACTCGGCTGATTTAAGATTATCGCGTACCGACGTGTAGCTTTGGTTTTTTTTTTTTTTTAATTCTGATCGAACGTTGGAGAAATTTTTGCTTTATTTAACGAGTTTTATTGTAAGTGTAAATTGCCTTCTTTCCCGGCAACACACCAGCTGGTTCTTTCCTATAAATCGATGCGTTTTACGGTTGCGCGTGTAATAAAAATGTTCGGAATATTTTCGCAGAGAAATATCGCGTGTCTGAAATTTCTTTAAATCTCTTCGTTTTTCTGCTGGTGTTTTCAATTTTCCACGATATACACGTTATCAACGCTTTCTCTGCTACGATGATACACTGCATCGCCTCGAGTGTTTATGCATTCGTCCCCTGCAGTTGCGTTGCAATAAGCGAACGGAACGTTGTTTTCGGGAATTATTACGCAATTCACCTCTGTTTTCGGTTACGTCCAATCTGTGTTCACCTGGATACTAAACACGATTTAACAACCCTGTAACGCTTCATTCAAATCTATTCTGTTCACCCGTACCTTCTAAAAAAACAAAAACAAATATACAAATTCACTCACGAAAATGATCTATAGATCTTTCAATCACGAAAAGGAATAACAGAATTTTATCACAAAACCATTGTTTCAACCTCAAGCACGCATCTAACAATTTTATCAAAAAAACAAAAAAAAAGAGAGCCCGGAAAGATTGACACTCTGAATCACGTTGTTTTCATTTTAGCCTCGGTCCTGTTCGCCGGCACCCTGTCGCGAAACATCGTGTACATGCGTTGCATCATCAAAGGTACACTGTATTGAATCTCTCTCTCTCTCTCTGTTTCTCTCTTCCTTCATGAGCTGTCCACGCGTGGAAATTTCGTTGTTGAAACGAACGTTGAAACGCTGCCAATGTGCTTTGCGCCCCGCTTTCCCAGCCACGCGTCCTTCTACCAGCTAAGCTGTACCAGCTTGGACACCTTCCAGCTGATTCCTCGCGCCTGGCGCGAATTTCAACGTGGATTTTAGCTCCACCGAAGTAGAGAAGTGCTTCTTGAAACAACGAACACGTGCCAGCAGCCCGCTTCCTCGCGTTCGATTAACGAGCTTGCACACAGACCGCCCAACCCTCCTCTCTTTCTCACTCTCTTCGAATTGGAGCGTGCGTCGGGGAACGTTTAACACCACCGCGAAACGTGAATCGATTATGCGACTCGACTGGTGTTCTTAGATTTATTTAAAAAGTCTCCGTTGTTCGGTTCCGTTCGAACGCTGTGAATAATAAAATTCGTTCCCCCCGGAGCGAATCGGTGACGATCGATTAATTGGAAACGAGATCCTTCAATAGCTTCGATGGGTTTACTTATTCATGCGAACCACCAACGTCACCAACGTCAACGGGCGGGAATGAAAGTTTAATTCTCGTGGGTGGGTTTTTTTTATTTTCTCGAATTGCTCTTACGAAGAACGCGTCTGATTGGTTGTAATAACCAGATGAAGCTTTCTACGGAAAAGATAGAAACGAGGGTGAAACGAACTGATTTGCTCCCTTTATCGGCAAGTTCTTCGACATTTTTCGCGTGATACGTCAACAGGTTAATTCACCATCGCGTTTTTCTTTATCTTCGACCGATCCTATCTCACGAGTGTTTCGCTCAGTCACGAGTAAATACTAAACAAACACTACTTGTCACCGAGTGACATAAATCATGATCTGTCGTGAAAAGCGACTGCCTATCTCTATCGGTCATCTTTATCAGATGCAATAACGTTTCGACTCAGCCTGGAAGCGTGAAACAATCCTCGTTTATCACGAGAATCATCCCCTCGTAGCAACCTTTCATCGCTGGCATACATCATATTTCGATAATCTAGTACGTAAAAAAGAAATTCGCTAAACGGAACAGGTATCCCTAAACGTATCGTGAAAAATACCACTCTTTCACCAAGTCAATCTGGAAAATGTTCAACAGTCGTCCCCTCGCCGTTTCACAACAGCCTTTCATCCACGCCTGTCGTCACCGGCATGCGTCACTTTTCGCCCATTTCAATATCCTAGCGACGTAGAACAATCGTCGAAGGAACACGGGAACGTGGAACGTCTAGGATGGTAAGCGTGGAACCGTTTGAAATGGCACGGCTGCCCGATTGTTGTTGCAGTTACGAAGCTGAGGGAGCACTGGGACGAGATGAACTCGAAAATGATGCAGAGGAAGACGGAGTTGGACGCGATGCTCGGGGACAGCCAGCGATACGAGGCCAAGAGGAACGAGGTAGAGGTCTGGTTGGCGCGAATGGAAACTCGGCTGGAGAAAATGCGGGCCGTCGGGCACACCGCCGACGTTCTCGAGGCACAGCTACGCGAACAAAAGGTACGCCCTGGCATTTTTCTCTATCCACATCCCCCTTCTTCTCTTTCTTTCTGTTTTTCTTTTTTTCTTTCTTGCCCGAGCTGCTCTGCATTAACCTGCTGCTTGGTGCCCGCGCGCGCAAAACCGACCGTCAACCGGACAGCAGAGCAGGGTGGTTCGTCCTCTTTACCTGCTCTTTATTCCGAGCGTGTCAATGGCTGGTGCAACGGACAGACCGAGGTCGGTTCTCTCCCCGTTTGATCACCGCAATTGCGTTGATCGCGATTAGGAGGGGCTCCGGATGAATGACCATTTGGGAATTCTGTGTGTTATTGGCAGCGGTAAATGGGCCTGGGTGAAAAGGGAGGGGAGTTAAAATTGCAGCCTGTCGATCGACGGATGATAGTAATCAATTTTAGACGAAGGGAAATAATGAAAAGAACCGGCTTTAATCTCGCGGAACGTGTTATTCGGAAAATTGCTGGGTCGTGGACATTTTTCTCTCCTTCTTTTTACTTTTTTTTTTTTTTTTTTTTTTTTTCATTTGAAGTTCTTGAAGAGAGCGAGGAGTCCTTGCCGGTGGAACGAGTGAATTAAATTTAAAAGTCGCGTTGAATGCACCGAAAGAATTTGCACTTTTGACCTACATACTTCTGCGAGAGAGTTTCTAACCGAGGTTACTCTACTCTCGTTCGTCCTTACTTCACGTTCGTATAGGATGTGTCAAAGAACCATTACATTAATCGAATATTCATCGGATGGATTTTGATAGAGGGTACTGTACGACGAGGGGGTGAACGAACCTTGCTGCGTTAGGGGTGAATGGCAAGCAAGTAGATCAAGTGGCTGTTTGAAGTTGAAGTTCGAATTGAAATGTACCTTTATATCGACTCTCTGTCGATACGTTCTTTTTTTTCTTCTTTCTTCTCGACGTAGGGAGAGAGACATGTAGTATTCTTAAAGGTTCGAGTGCAATCGAGGTTCGAGGGAGTTAAGAAGGGTTGGGGAATAAAGCACGAAGAACGAGAGCTACCGGGGATTCGTAAAAATCGAAACTTCGCTTACTAAATGTATCACGTTACGTCGTTGTAAAATACTTTTCACGTCTTACTCGACTCTCACCATCCAGCCTCGAGAACACTCACCCCCTGCGCGCATAAACAGGTGATACCTGAGCACTCTAGCTCACGCACTCGCATGCTCCCGAACACACTCTCTCGCCTGGCTACTTGAAAAAGAGCTCTCTCTCTCTCTCTGTCCTTCCGCGATATTAAATTTCATCCGCCATTAAGACAGCCCGGGTGGTAATCCCCTAATCTAATTACACGCCGACGGAAAATTACGAAAATGACCGAATAAAGTCTCTCACTCTCTCTTCCTTCTCCCCGTACAATCTAGCCGAGCGAGCATTTGCTGCAATTGCTCTCGAATGAGAGAGAAAAAGAGAAAAGAGCAACGAGGGAGAAATAGATATAAAAATGGAGGAAACGGTCGCGAGTATAATGGCCGTTAGATGCTTCGTTACAGGCCGCGACTGCGATTAAAGAGAACGAACGGATCGGTATTCATCCCGGTAGCAGCTACTAACCTCTTTTTAACAACCTTTCCCAGCTTTGCATGTACGAGAATAACGCGACTCGCGGAGGGGGCAAAAAATGGCGACGTGCAACGGGAGCGCAGCAGGCAAAGGAACGTCCAAAGTCCCAATCAACGCGAGATCGCACCTCGGCGTAGTACATCACGCGGCCCGGAACTCTGTTTACATTCAAAAGAGCCGAATGAGATATTCATGGAATAATTTATTTCGACGAGGAAAGCTGTATCTTCGGGATTCAGCCTTCGCCCGGGCTT